CAGTGCAGTGGCCACCTAGAAATCCACCTAGCTTTGTTGCTACGTGATGATTAATGATCGTATCATAAAGCTACACTTTAAAAAATAACTTATCATTTAATAACATTTAATAAACATTTTAAGATAAAATTCCAGCTTCATTTTGATATACAAGAATTTATGCTATGACAGTGATATTCAGTTTTGACCTTAAAGTTGGGCAAATACTGATATAAACATTCTGTTATAAACAGATATAAACATTCATTCTGATATAAGCATTCAGTCAAAATATATATTTGATGCATTTCTATAGGGAATTTAGTTCAACTTTCCATCCAATTCAGCAATTGCTTCCATGATATCCTAGAAGAGAGCCACTCACTTCTGTTAGGAATCTCCAATGGTGTGGTGGGCAATTTACTTCTGAATAAGGCAGATTTTCTTTGTCTTGTTAGTATACAACTCTAATTAAGCAACAGTTCTTTATTATATTTATCTGAAACCTTTGCCCTGAATAACATTTTATTCACTGCCCTTAATTCTATCTTCTGATTGAAAACATTAATAGAATAAATTTATTTTATGGGACTAGCCTCCAACTACTAGCCCTATATGATTTTGAAGGTAGTCCTTTTGCATTCCTTTCCTTGGCTAAATGAGATCAGACCCTTAACCATTTATGGCATATGTAGGCCAGACCCTTCACTGTCCTAGTGCACGCCTCTAATATTTGACGCCCCTCCTTGAAAATGTAGAGCTGAAGACCTATTGCATCCATTCATGCAAGAGCTTTTTATTGCACATATGTCAAGTGGTATATCTATAGTGGAAAGATACAGCAGTGAACCAAACAGAAAAAAAATCCCTTGCCCCGTGGAGTTTACATTCTAAGGGGGAAAAGACAGCAAATGATAAGTAAACAATATAGTATGTTAAATTAAAAAAGTAGGACAAAAGGTTAAAAAGTAAAATGTGCTATGGAGAAAAATTAAATATTGAAGGAAAATAGGACATTTCCTTCACAACAACAAATTGTTGTTATGATTTAAAATAGTGGTAAGCAAGGACCTCACTGAAAACATGACTGTGCCAGTTATATTCTATCTGCCTCTCTAGATCTAGTCCATTCTCTTAACCTTCCTATTCTCCATCTTAGGAGGCTGGACTACAGACTTGATCAATGTTTCCAGTGACATCTGATTTCCTGTTTGGGGTAATTCCTGGATTCCCTAGTAAGACACTGGAGGAAAGGGGGAGAGGGAGCTGTCACTGAGTGAAGATCCTCGGTGGTGTCTGTAAAATTGACAGTTACAGTTCCCCCCAAGGCTACTAGCTCCGCAAGACTCTCTTCCCTTCTGGTTCCTGTAACTATCCTCTTCCCTTGTCCCTTGAGACCTTGGAAGGGAGGTGGGGCGGGGGTGAAGGGTGTGTGGGTTCCACCAACTTTTATGCTTTCCTTGCACCCAAAATTTGGAAAATAGTCCTTTTCTTCATAAGGTTTGCTTGAAGTATCCTATTTCAAATGCATTGTTTCCTATTGGGACCCTCATTGATGCTGTGATATTTGAGCAAAGATCTGAAAGAGATGAAGGTAAGCCATGTGGATACACAAGGACTGAGCATTCCAGGAGCAGCAAGCACAAAAGCACCTTGCCAAGGACAGTCTGGCAGCGCAGAGGACAGCAGAGTTGTGTTTTTCCTTGCCCCTTACATTCATGTGCCTCAGTGTAGTCAGAGATTACAGTAGCTTTCTCGTGGTAGTACTGCCCTTCATTTATATTGAACTTATCATAAACTGAAATCCAGTTCCTCTTATTCATTCAGATTTTGAGCAAAATACAGAGCTTACACTTATCTCTATTAAGTTTTATCATTTTTGTTATGAAACAAATATTTAATAGGCAACTACTATATATCACATACTTGGAATTCTATGATAAATAAAACAAAGATGTTTCAGCATTTCTGGAAGTTTCAGCCTAGTATAGGAGACAGTGAAATGATACATAAAAAAAAATTAAAATGATAAGTGCTGCATAAAAGAGGTACAGGTAGTATGATGAACACTACACCTAAAGGGTTTTTCTAAGTCTAGGAGCTCAGACTGAAGAAGTGCTGCTTGAGATCAATATGAAGAAAAGATAATGGGCAATGGGATGAAATGGGAAATTCTAAGTATTGTAGTCACATTGTAGTCACAGAGCCTATGCTCTGAGACTGAATGATGAATTTCAGTTCAAGAAACTAGAAAAAAAAGTCTTTGGGAATATAATGTAAAATGAGACTGGCAAGATTTTAAAAAAGGTTAAATCATACAGGATTTCACTGGCTATCGTAGATGCTTTGTTTTCTATGTTCACTGATAATGGTAAATATTTTAATCTTAATCTCCAAAGCAATGAGAATTCATTGATGAGTTTGTGGGTGTGGTTCTCTCCAAAGAGCTCAGTAGAAGTTTCTCAAAGTATCCAGTGTAGAACTCTTTTCACCCTGATAAGGGTTTATGTTATACAAATTGGCAAAAAGAACTGCTCAGTTAAGTTCACATTTAATATGCACAGATAACAAGGATCTAGCAATTTCTTGAGAGTACCCTAATCCTACACCTAAGGACTGTGGTGGGTCAAGTGTCTAGATATTTTTGGAGGCCTCTATTTTACCAAAAGGCTGCCAGAATCTTTCTACTAGAATATTGCTGTATCTGCCCTGAGAATCTTTCTTGAAAAGCACCTAAAAGGACATAATTGAGCTTATGAATAGGTTAATTACCATTTTCCTCCTTAATTTTTAAAATTTGGTAAAATACAGATAACATACACTTTTCCACCTTCACCATTTTAAAGCTTACCATTGAGCGGTATTAAATACATTCAAATTTTGGTTATCATCCTCACCATAGATCTCCAGAACACTTTTCATCTTATAAAACTGAAACTCTGTCCCTTTAACAATAACTCCTGTTCTCCCTTCCCTCAGCCCCTTGCAATTACCTTTCTAGTTTTTGTTTCTATGATTTTGACTACTCACTCATTTAAGCAAAATTATACAGTATTTGCCTTGGGTGACTGGTTCATTTCATTTAGCATAATGTCCTCAAGTCTCATTCATATTGTAGCATTTGTCAGAATTTTCTTTCCTTTTAAGGATGAAAAATACACCTTGTCAATATTTTTCCCTACTGGTCCTCTAGTATTTATAGCTGTGGCAAATTTTGACCTGAGATTTATTTGTAATGTAATATTCTATCTGGGAGCAAGATATTGAGGGGGGGGGACCTATAGTTCTGATATATCACTTTTGAACCAGGCTATTGTTATATACTAAAATTTATCTGATTATTAGAAATGATTAAGCTGGCTTAAATGAGTTTTCAAACATTTAGTTTATAATCTTCATTAACATCTTTAATGCTTATTTATTAAATCTCAAGATTATAAATAAAATTTGAGAAAAAAATATAGTCATATTTAGTGATGGGTTATTTTAATTTAAAGAAGTAATTTAATTTAAAATTTCAGCATTAAGGGCCTCCCCGGTGGCGCAGCGGTTGAGCGCTGGGTTGCGAAGCTGACCTCAGCCTCTGCGGCGCCGGTTCGATCCCCGGCTGCTCCCCGGCCACCGGAGGAGGGTCCCACATGGCGTGCAGACCTCTCCTGCCGCCCGCTGCTCCCCTCAGCACTGTACTTTGGTCCTTCTGCCTGCTCTGCTCCCCGCTCTGGCTCTGGTGGATTCTCTCACCCTCCCGCGCTTCTGACTGTGCCCAGTGCTGGTATAAATAAATAAACAAATAAATCTTTAAAAAAAAAATTTCAGCATTAAAAATCCCATTAAATTATTATTGGCTTTAATCATTCAATTGAAGGATTTTTATCAAATACAGTAAATCTAAATAACTCTAGAGCTTTACTTTTGATTTCTAAATGGAGTCAGACTTTGTATTCAGTCTTTTGCAATTCTGACTAGAAAGGATTTTGGGGATTTCAAATTGATTTTTGATGGTGTTTTCATAGTTAAGCCAAGGGGTACTGAAAAGGGTCCAGGGCCTCCCTGGTGGCACAAGGAATTAAGTCGCAACACTATGAAGCTCTCCGCTGCCACTGCAGCACAGTTCGATGCTAGGGGCAGGGAGATGACCCACATGGCAGAGCAGATCTCTCCTGTCTTACTTGCTGCTCCCCTAAGCAGTGTATTTCAGTAGATCCACCTGCTCTGCTCCCCACTCTGTCTCTGGTGAATCTTCTTACCTGCCCCCCCATCTCTGGCCTGTACCCAGTTCTTGTATGCATAAATAAATAAATCTTAAGCTTTTTATTTATTTATTTATGCAAGCACTGGGTACAGTCAGAAGCGAGGGAGGGTGAGAGAATTCACCAGAGTCAGAGCGGGAAACAGAACAGGCAGACTAATGAAATACACTGCTCAGGGGAGCAGTGGGTGCTGCAGGAGAGGTCTGTGTGCGAGCCCTGTGAGACCCTAGCTGGCGGCCGGGGATCGAACCGGCGCTGCATAGGCTGCGGGCAGCTTCGCAACCCAGCGCTCAACCGCCTGCGCCACCAGGGGAGGCCCGTATATAAATAAATCTTAAAAAAGAAAGAAAGAAAGAAAGGGTCCAAGGAGTAGTCAAGAGGAAAAGGAGATGTAATTAAAAGAAATAAAATGGAAAATCTTGCCCATAAGAGCCAAACATGATAGGAACTGGATAAAAAGAAATGATTACGATCAGACAGATGAAATAAATTTGTGCCCACTGCAATGTCTATATCTTGCTTCAAAGTATTAAAAGGTTACAATTTTGAAAATATAAATGATTTCAGTTATTTCCTAGTATTAGAAAAGGTTAACGCTTTTCCCTGATGAAAGGAAAAGTACCATATTTATTTATTAAGCATTACCACGTGGTAAGCACTTCCAACTGTCCCTTGTTTTTTAACAGCTCACTATTCAGCTCATTACCAGGGAGCATGCAAGCAGGGCATCATAATGGGTTAGTGATATGACTGGTACAAAGAAAATGGGTGTATCTAGAGGATGTACTTTTTCTTTAGTGGCATAGGACATAGAGAAATGAGCTAAGTCAGAGCCTCCCAGATGGCATATCTTCCCACGTGCCCCGAGTTCCCCACTGAGATTTCAGCTGCGGATGACGCCCCTGGCGGAGTGTAAGAATCCCTGTACCATGGAGGCTTTCTTTTGCTTCCCATTGTTCTGTTTCTGTGTTCCCCTAAAGTGCTGTTAACAGATACAAGACAATCCTAGCATTTTCCTAAGCATTTGTTGTAAAATTAGGTAATGTGAAGGTCTCCCAAAAAGCTTTCTTTGGCAGGATAGATTCCTATTTGAGGTAATTTTCTGTAATGTACTAGAGCAAATAGAGCCTCTACAATGTAACACACTTGAACATCCTCAATGGCAATGCGGAAGGACCTGACAGAACCTAGGTATGTAAGGTTATAGAAAATAGAATTTTTCTGATCATTTATGGCTAGAATTATTTTAACTTATTTTGATAATTCAAAGACAACAACATCTGGTTTTCTTTTGCAGTAACCTGGACACGAGCACTTGCCATCTTTGTTTTTAATTGACTTGTATGTGGAGCATTTCAATGATTAAAAGAAACATGACCCTCAAAGAAGAGGTATCACACTTGTTGGGACCTGCACAATTAGCAACCTGTCTTCTTTAGAGTTAGGTACATTTTCACTACTTTATAAAGATAAATAGACTTGTATTTGAGAAGTGTACCTCTGTGGCCATGACTGATAGGTTTGCCTCACTGTGATGAGATAATTTGCCTAATTCTCTGCAACTAGTTCTGTAATACTCTGTTCTTCCTATGAATCCCCAGTGTGGGTGTCACTCTGGACAAGACTTGTCTTCCTCTCTTCCTGTGTCTCTCCTTGCTTTTTGGTAAGGGCATAGTCCTAGCCAGCCAGCTCTTTGGTCTCTTTTCAGCCCAGCTTCCGAGGCAAGCCTGGTTTGCCTAATCTTCCGTCAGTTGTCTCCTCTAAATTGCTGACCCAGAATGGTGGCTACTTGCTGAGCTGGTGAAGCTTTGCTGCCCCCTTCTGGTGAAGATGCTCAAAAATATGTGTTCAGTGTCTTCTGGAACTGTGTTATAATAATGTCTGACCAAATGCTGGAGTGTAGTACAAAAGCTGTATACTTTCTTTAAAAAAAAAATAATATTTACTGAGAAACTTCTATGTGCCAGAGATATTGGACACTGGATATTCAGGAGAGAATGAAACAGATCAACATCTTGTGTGCATGAGTTAGGGTAAGACAGACAAGAAATATATAAATGAGTAAAATATGTAGTGTGCAAAAAAATCCGGGAAGAGAGATTAGGAGTGTGGCACCTACATTTAGATAATGTCAGGTCAGGTTGCTGTGATATCTAAAGGACAGGAGAGAAGAAGCAAAGAGAATGATAAATACTGAGGCAGGAGGCCGTTTTGCATATTTAAGGATTTTCAAGGGAACCAGTGTGGCTGAAACATGGGATAAGAGTGATGGAAGGGGAGTGGTAGAACATAGGTCAGAGAGCTAAGTGTGGTCGGGCAGGAGGGAACAGATTGTACAGGGCCGTGTATGTAGCTATATACATATATATACATACAACACACATATGTGCACACAAGTAGGTTTATATAAATATGTATGTATGTTTATATAACTCTGGAAACTGATGGGGAATTTTGAATAGAGCAGATACCTGAAACAACATAGTTCAATAAGTCAAAACTCTGAGGGTTTATACCATGAATAGACTAGAGGAATGGCAAGGGACAAGAGGGGATAGTTTGCAGGAGACAGGGAATAATTACAACTTGTACCATCATGATAGAATGAAGGTAGTGAAATAAGGTGAAGTTCTGAGTATATTTTGAAGGTAGGGAGTTGCTGATATGTTAAATGAGGGATATGAAAGATCAGATTAAAGGGTGACTGGATGATTGAACAAACAGGCAATAAGAGCCACCATTTGTTAGGATGGAGAAGTTTGGGAAAAAAAATGGTTGGAGGGGTGAACGTACAGAGGAAAGCAAGAGCTGTTATTTGGAGAGGTCTAGTTTGAGATCCTGTTGGATAGTGACAAATTGGAAACCATTGTGATCTCTTCCCAACTTACAGGTTCATCAGTAGGTCCTTGGCTACCCCAAGCAAGACTAACATGATCACTTTTCTGTGTCATTCAGTGGAACAAAACTTTGACCATAAAATTCATAAGCAGCCAAGACTATGGATACACCATTCCGCTTGTCTTCTCCAAAAAGGATAAGAGGAGGGAAACAAGAGGAAAGGCAAGAGAGGGGCTAATGTTGACAAGAGAATAAAATAATGGTCTGGTGCAATTCCATCGTATGTGCTTCAGTGCGCATTCCACATGGTGTCATCAATCGCTTCTCTATTATACGCAGACTGTCTAAATGTATTTTAGTTCTTGAAGTTTCTGTTCATTTTTACTTCTTATCTTCTGGCAGAAATGACCAGAGCTAGATACAAATGAAATGGATAGCAACTCTTCAGATGTTTTTTACCCCACCACTTCCACCACCAAGACACCCACAGTTCTCTATCATAGCCCATTGATGCCCCTCCCCTTTCTATTCTCCACCCTCACCTTTGTATTCTCAATTTTACAGTCAGATTTCTAGGGTTTGTTTTTGGTTTGGTTTTGTCTGACCCTTTCTTTTGTTTCTCTATATTCCATGTATGAGTGAAACCACTAGTATTTATCTTTTTCTTTCTGTCTTATTTGATATGGCATAATCCCCTCTAATTCCATCCATTTTATTATGAATGGCAAGAGTTTATCTTTCTTATCTGAATAAGGATGCTGACTAGTATTTCTCTGTGTACATGTACTACATCTTAATCCACTTCTCTGTTGTTGGGCACTGAGGTTGTTTCCATAACTTGTCTATTGTAAAAGGTGCTACAATGAACATCAGAGAGCACATACCCCTTCAGATTTGCATTCTTTGGGTCAATACCTAAGGGAGGGATTGTCTTGTCTTATGGTAGATCTATTCTTAATATTTTGAGAAACCTCCATTCTGTTTTCCATAAGGAGCTGCTGGACCAGTTTACATTTCCACTAGCAGCATATGAGGGTGACTTTTTCTCCACACCCTTGCCAACATTTGTTTCTAGTCTTTTAGATAGAGCCTCAGGTGTGAGATGGCATCACACTGTAGTTTTGAGATGCATTTCCCTGATGATAAGTGATGGTGGGCATTTTTTCTGTGCCTGTGACCATCTGTCTGTCTACTTCGGAGATGTGTCAATTTAGCTTTTGCAGAATAGTGTTTATTTCTAACATGCTCTTCCAGAAATACATCATGGATGTTAATCTTGGGCAGGAAAAAATATAATCAAGTTGCCTATGTAGAGACAAATAAAAAAAAAAGCTCTTAGAGAATCTACTGGAAACGTGGATATGAACAGCATTCTTTCTGCAGGAGGAGGCCTTTCAACACTTTAGCCCTTGGGGTTCAATTTGGTGTTATGAAAGTGCTCCCTAAGGGGCCTGACCTGTCTCCTGACTCGGGGCGAGTAAGAGGCTACTGAAGAAGCAGCTGAGGTTTGACACCAGGTGCATCTCATTGACTAGTATTCCTATGCATTTCTGGGCACTTGGAGCAAGTTCCTTGAAAGAATAATGCAGCATGGATGCTGCCAGCACAGCACAGCTCTCTGGGAACTTCCTCTGGATGTGGTACTGGGAGCATTTCCCCAGGTCATGCATCTCTCGAGGTAACTGGAAGCTATTCTGGAAGAGAAGAGTGTCAGTGCTGTTGGCAGGAGTTGCTGCTGAAAACTGCTGCTCCTCACAGCTGCCACCACAGAGGAGGTTGTCCCTTCAGGAGCTGCTGCCAAGGGCTTGCTATGGAGTTTCCATAGGATGTTCTTGCTAGGGAGTAAGGCTGTCGTTTTGTCTGTGCAAACTAAATAAAGTAAGACTAATCGTTCACAGCTATGATTTGTTCTGATTGTCTAGATATCCTTGAGGTGAAATGTTATATTTCAATAGTAGAGAATTCAGGGTCTGTTTGGAAAAATACCTCTCTCCATACAAGCAGGAAGCTACCAATCAAGACACTTGTCTTTTGACACCTTAACCAGCTTACCGGTGGGATGCCATCCAGAGTGGGCCCGACATAATACCATGACCCTTTGCTAAAGTGGTTAGAACAAGTGATGGCACGTGACCTGACCAGGAAGAATCTGGGTCTATTCCTGTAAATTTACTTAAAAATAAAGGGAAAAAACCCTTTTGCTTATTAGGTTAGCAAGTAGCATGTGACTATGTTTCCAAGTGTACAGAAAGTTCCTTTGGTATGGGAGAGTGAACCTACATAAAGAACCTAAGTGAGGTGTGATTACATACATTCATCATAGAAATGTGAACCTATACCCCTAAATCATATATGGTGTTGTAAGTCAATGTTCTCTCTCTCTCTCTCTCTCTCTCTCTCTCTCTCTCACTCTCTCTCTCTCTCATTCTCTCTCTCTCTCTCTCACAATTGCCTAAGGGAGAGAGAACTGATTTTGCATAGGCCTCTGATTTCAGTCACCAAGTTCATCTGAGTTTCCCTGGACCTGCATCTCGTCATTTATGAGAACTAATCTGGTATCCTTTCAGTAAATTATTCTATTTTTGCGTAACCTAATTTGAGCTTGGATTTTGTTACTTTTAATCTATTAGAGCCTCCACAAAGAATTTGATTTTCACCCTGGGCATCAGAGACACTCAAAAGTGTGTGATTTAAAAAAAAAAGGTGGGTCAAAAGGAAAATAACAAGAGTACTTTGAGGGAAAGCATTTAAAAATAGAAAGGATTTATTTTTGCTAAGCATAGAGGTCAAATTAAAGAAAGCACACCAAAGACAGAAGAGATCTATCAATGAGTCTATTTCACTGATGGAAAATTAGATTCCTCCTGACGTGCATTATTTGTCCCCAGTATAATGTATTTACTGAATCACTGCTTCTCATCTTTTGGCCTCGCCTCAACTCTATCTGCAGTCCATTATTATTTCCCCCAATATTAAGTCTGTGACAAATTTATATCATTTATTTAAAATCTGTCAATTTAGGGCCTCCCTGGTGGTGCAGCGGGTTGAGCGCAGCACTCTGAAGCTGTCCACAGCCTCTGCAGCGCATGTTCGATTCCCGGCTGGCCAGGGAGATATCCACATGGCACAGCAGACCGTCCTGCCTTGCCCACTGCTCCCTTCAGCACTGTCTTTGGTCCCTCTGCCTATTCTGTTCCCCGCTCTGTCTCTAAATTCTCTCACCCTCCCACACCTCTGGCCTGTACCCCAGTTCTTGTATAAGTAAATAAATCTTTAAAAAAAATCTGTCAATTTAACATGAATAAGTTATTATTCAGAGGATATTAATTGGACAGAAAGTCAATACAGGAAAACGTTGGATACATTAATTCCAATACCTAATCATTGGGAAATAAAAATGTGACAATCAGGTGGTCTTAAGGGACCAATTTAAGTAAGAGTGTGACAAACAAAAGTAGTAAAGTTGGAATTATATAAAATCTTATTAAAACACTTTTTCGATGTTGTTGTGGAAAGAACATGACCTACTTATGAATATTACATAGACTCTGGTCATTGTTTTCATGGTGCTTTAAAATTTGTCTCACCATGGGGACCTTAGCTAAGA